CCTTTCACACAGCATCAAATATCCCTTGCTGTGTTTCTGATTCCAAAAAAGACAAAACAATACACATATCAGGTGACTACTACTGTCTTAAGGACCAAGAGACCGGCTTACAAGACAATTTACCTGCCCAGAAAGGCGGGACTCCGCTAAGCAATATATACAGTATAACACCAGCAGTCCACACATCAGCTTCAGGCCCATAACGTTTGAGCAAAACCTCAGGAGCAACATAATATGGACTTCCAACAACATCAGTGAATATTTGACCTGAAAGTCACATTCACTTTCATAAGATTCATTTACACGTTTAGTTAAGCAAAACATTAACTAAAAAGCTTCAAACATTTTACCTGGTTTGAAAAAGACAGATAGCCCAAAATCAATAGCCTTGAGAGAGAAATCATCATCCTTATTAACCAACAAGAAATTCTCAGGCTTCAAGTCTCTATGCATAACACCAAGCGAATGACACGCTTCAACAACCCCGACAATGATCTTAGTCAGCTCAGCAGCTTTCCTCTCACTATAATGTCCTCTCTGAATAATCCTATCAAACAATTCACCTCCAGCACAAAGCTCCATAACAATGTGAACATACAACGAGTCCTCATAAGCTCCTTTAATCGTCACGATGTTACCGTGGCCAGCCAAATGATGCATTATCTGAATCTCCCTTCTAACATCCTCAACATCTTCTTTAGAGATCAACTTCCTCTTGGATATTGACTTACAAGCGTAGTCAACGCCAGAGGCAATCTCTGTACATAGATAAGTCGTTCCAAATTGACCTTGTCCTAGCTTACGGCTAAGGGTATAGATATCACGAATGTTTGGTGTCTTATGACCAAGAACATAGTAAGCTTGATTATCTGGGTTACGCCTCATGATTGGTTCTCCTAAAGGAATAACAAGAGCTGGATTTTTGCTGTTGTTGTTGTCTTTGGAGAATTCTTGAGCAATGATGTCTGCAGCGTTGGGAGAGTGATCGGAATGAGAGGTTTTAGAGTAATCTTCAGGGTTATTGTTATTGCCCTCGCAGATTTTGTCCTTGAAAGATCCACGGCAAGAATTGCCCATGAAACAATGGGAATTTACCAAATCCTGGATTTAAAGACAGCAACTTTCACTTTGTGTTCTTCATCCAAGGAACTGTTCATAGAGATAACACTGTCAAAAGTCAAAACCCAAAAATCAGACCAAATCTCAGAAGCTAAACGAGAACAAAGTAATGAACTTTAACAATCACAAGTAAAGAAAGTCGCAAAACTCATACCAGATCAAAGAGTCAAAGTAACCAAGAAAAAAGACAAAACACAAGAGCTAAGAAGTTTCGATGGATCTTCTAAAAGGAATCAGAAAACAGAGAATGAGGTAGAGTTGAAAAAGGAAAGGGGAAAGAGGATCTAGTTACCAGTTGTTGAACTAAGAAGGCCGAGAGAGAAGACTGAAAGAATGATTTAGGATTTAGGAATCTGACTTAAAAGGAGAAACTAAATTTTGGGAGACAAAAGAAGAAAAGTCGAACCAGAAGGGAAAGCTACAATATTTAATGTTTTTTTTTTTTAGTTCAGAGAAAAGCTTCAAGTAGTACTAAAAAAAAAAAAGAGATTGAAGCAGAATAAAAAATAGATTTTTATGAGTTTTTGTTTGGTCGGATAGATTAGATTCGTTGGATGAGAATGTGATGGGTTTTAGTTTACGGCGGCGATTGAGCGAAGAAAGGTCTTCTAATTAGTGCTCACCAGCTACTACTACACCTCTCTGACTCTCTCTCCGCTGTTTCCTCTCACCTTCTTCTAATTTTCTCTTCTTCTTTTTTTTTTCCGCAATCCAGTTTCTCTTTTAATAACTCCCCAAATATTTTTATTTTTGTAAAAATGATAACTAAAATTAAGAAAAGAAAAAAGCAAAAAAGGTCAAAATTAGAATGACATGTTTTCTTTTTCTCTCTGACTCTCTCTTTAATATTATAATGTTAAATATACAAATTTTATTATATAGAAAATGGATACACACACTTATTACAAGTAAAACACTTTGGGAAGTTTTAAGCACGATGGTTTTATTCTAGTATGAGAAGAATAATTTAAATACATGTGATATACTTGTAAAAGAAGCCACCATTCCTTCACTCTCCTATAAGAAAAGTAAACTCTTGAGACTTTTTCTTAAAATATACTAGTAGATATGCAAAATATATAAACAATAATAATTATGACGTCACTGAGTAGTATGACGTGAGAGATAGACACGTTTCCATATATTGCAAGTTCCTGGTTTTACTTTAGCCCCTCACATAATCCCTATTGAGTTTACGGTAATGCATCTAATTATCTAAATTCAGTCATGCAGATATATAAATGTACAAGGAGTAAGAGTTACGTTATATGAGCATTTTACAAATATTATTACTTCCAAGAACTTAAGAAACTTCTGATAAATTAAAGAAACACTAAAGACCGTAAAAACCAGCCCGGTCATCTACAAATCGGTTCGCGTTTGGGCCTTTTATCCACTGATCCAGGCCAATATTCATTACAAAATTCAGACCCAAAGGCCGTATTATTGTGTTGTTTTAGACTTTAGACCTTACAATATAACATATTACACATTCAATTCCAAAATAACATATACAAAAGCAAAAATCCGAATTTTTTTATTAAAAAACGATATCAAAGTTGACACCTTCACAAGACTGTATCAAATTTGACACCTCTACACGAGCAAAATTATATTTTAGGATTTGTATCAATGTGCTGGCTGATTTCTCCTGTAAGATCTCTCGATCTTTGTCTGAATTCGTTTTCACATTAGTTTGGTGACAAACATAACGTTACTGAAAAGAATAAAAAACATAAAGTTATTGAATTTTTCACTTTTGCATAATAGTCCTCTCCTTCATATTCTTTTTCAAAATGTTACTTCCTGTCCAAAGAAAAATATCTTAACCACTACCAGTGAACATAAATGGTACGTTTCTCCTCATTCTACGGAATTTTAAGACGCAATGATGATGATTAATTGATGATGTGGACAACAATCTTTATATATTCGCATTCACATGCCATGACTGTTCAAACTCTATGAAAAAAAGATTCTATATATTGCGTGTTTATATCCTGTGGTGTGTAGTGTGTAATGTAGTTCCATACATAACCGCTTATACTACGTTCATTTCCGGAAAATATCTAAAAAAATATGGAGTCATAAATATTTATAAACAAGTTAGATGTTTTTTTCTATGCTCGAAATACGTTTATGGTAATCTTTGCGGTCAAATATACGAACTTTAACAACGACGTTTAACAATATATCTTTTGTTTTATACATGCCAAGTTTTGTATGATAAAATGTAGATATTTATTTTCAGAAAACCAGTAGTTGTAGTCACATGGTTTGTTTTTGTTGATCAAAATTTGTTAATGCTATTCATTTGGAGACTGCAAATAGAATTGGTATTCGGTTCAAAAGATTTAAGTCTACCAAACTATTCACTATTTTTAACACCAGATAAATGTTGATCATATACTCTCTTTTTTTTTGTAGAATAACTTGATTTAACCGATCAAAATTGAGTTTTCTACTGTTTTTTTTTTTTTAATAATAAATAAATGAGACTGAATTATCCAAAACATCAAAATATTGACAGAAATCAATGAATGAGTGTATTTCATATGATATCATGATTAAGAAATTTGAATGAATTAGTTATTTTTGGGTAAATTTAGGAACGCTTAACCAAGTTAATATAAAATGCCATTACACCTGACCTTAATAAAATCATTGGCTAGTATGTGTTCTTATTCCCCACGTACAACGAATTTGTATATTTTGGTTAAAATAGTCCACGAATCAATATATTCTTTAACACACACAAAAAAAAAACTCAATTTGATTTTTTATACAGTCTTATTTCTTCCCTTTAAATCTGTAAGGAAAATAGTAAAGTGAAGAAGAAAAAACTATTCATTATATTGTAACATACGAATACGACTCACGATTAACTAAAGTTAAAGTGTCTCATTGTATTTGGACTTTGGACAATATTCTCCATTATTGCATTTTCTCTTTCTTGATTAATTATGTAAAGTTAATATGATTTGAAGATGCTTTTCGATATGTAAACAAACTAAACTTTACTTTACCAATAACTTTATTTTCAGAAATCTGAAGTCCTTACATAAAAATCAGATATTTATCTCTAGTTTCTTGTATAGTCCCAATGAATCTAAGAATTCAAAAACCAATCCTATCTTTGTTTCATATTTACAAAAAGTACCAAATCTTTTTCCCCAATTATGCCGACATTAAACTCATTTCTTTACATACAAAATCCGAAATTGATATCCGTTTTCCCCAATTTAAAGTTTTTACCTTTACTTCATGAATGTGAAAGATGGTAAAAAGCAGAACATTTCGGGAAATTTGATTTTAATAGGCCCGTGAATAAACTCGTGGACCCAAATCGAAAAGATAACAAATTTAAAGATTATTGGTGTTTACTTAATTCTCTGAAAAAATTCTGTACGCAAACACGAGAAAGAGAAGAGAGACATACACACACATACGTGGTTTGAGAGGACAGGAGCAAAACGGCAGGTGTCACTAATCCCATAGGCTTCTCTCTCTGTTCACAGTCCTTTCGCATAGAAAAAGTATTCAGTTTTATATTCCCACGGTTATTTCGAAATCTAGCTTACGTTTTCTTTTTTTGATTTAAACCAAAAGGGTAAACAAAAGAAATGCTTTTTGATTGCTTAGTGACGCCATTGAAGCAGCGGCTCACAGATAGTGGCTTCTTCTGCCTCCAATTCCAAGTTGCTAACCCTAGTTTTCATCTCTCTCTCTCTCTCTCTCTCTCTCTCTCCATATATATCATATCTCTCGTACTTTCTTGCTTTCTCTTCCTTCTACTTGGTAGAAGAGATAAAAAGTAGTCAAATTTTATTCAAAGTTTTGATTTTGACATCTGAAGTTTCACCTCTATTTTTTCCAGAACTCCTTTGGGTCTGTGTCTTTTACGTCACTAAAGGGTTTGTTTCAATTGGTTTGTTATAGTCCTAGGTCATGCTTTTTGGTGTTATCTCTCTCTGTTTTATCTTTTCGCTCACCAGTGATTGTGTCTGCTTTTCGATTTTTCAGGTGGGTTTTGTCTCACTCACTCATCGTCGTTGATCAGTGACTCTGTTTTGCGAAATTCTCTTCGGATTTCTTGATAAAAGATATAAGACGGAATCATGAGTGGAGCTGTGCTTGTTGCTATTGCTGCTGCTGTTGGCAACTTGTTACAAGGATGGGATAACGCAACTATTGCAGGTGATTGATTATGTTCTAAATCCATAATTCTGTTTATGAAGTTTAGGATTTTTATTGATACAATTCACTGATTCATCCTTTTAGCTTATCTCTTTTGCTTGTGTGATGATTTTTGAGCTTTCTTTGGGACTCTGCAGGAGCTGTGTTGTACATAAAAAAGGAGTTTAATTTGGAGAGTAATCCATCAGTGGAAGGTCTAATTGTGGCGATGTCACTTATTGGTGCTACTCTGATTACAACATGCTCTGGAGGGGTAGCTGATTGGCTTGGTCGCCGTCCGATGCTAATATTGTCCTCAATTCTCTACTTTGTTGGTTCTCTAGTAATGCTATGGTCTCCCAACGTTTATGTGTTGCTCTTAGGAAGGTTGTTAGATGGATTTGGGGTTGGTCTTGTGGTCACACTTGTTCCTATTTATATATCCGAGACTGCACCTCCTGAGATTAGGGGACTGTTGAATACGCTACCGCAGTTCACTGGCTCTGGAGGGATGTTCTTATCGTACTGTATGGTTTTCGGGATGTCGTTGATGCCATCACCTAGCTGGAGATTGATGCTTGGTGTCCTTTTCATCCCTTCCCTTGTCTTTTTCTTCCTCACAGTCTTCTTCTTGCCCGAGTCCCCAAGGTGGCTCGTGAGCAGAGGTCGAATGCTTGAAGCAAAGCGGGTTCTTCAGAGACTGCGTGGTCGCGAAGATGTGTCTGGTTAGTCTTTAAACATTCTGACTCTAATTATTTCAATGAAACCATTTTTTTCTGTTGAACGTTCTTATGTGGCAATGAATAGGTGAGATGGCTCTGTTGGTTGAGGGTCTTGGAATTGGAGGTGAAACAACCATAGAGGAATATATAATTGGTCCTGCGGATGAAGTTACTGATGATCATGATATAGCTGTGGATAAGGATCAAATTAAGTTGTATGGTGCAGAAGAAGGGCTGAGTTGGGTTGCTAGGCCAGTCAAAGGAGGAAGCACTATGAGCGTTTTGTCTCGCCATGGAAGTACAATGAGCAAGAGGCAAGGCTCATTGATTGATCCTCTTGTCACACTGTTTGGGAGCGTTCACGAGAAGATGCCAGACACTGGAAGCATGAGGAGTGCCTTGTTCCCACATTTTGGGAGTATGTTCAGTGTGGGAGGGAATCAACCGAGAAATGAAGACTGGGATGAAGAGAATCTTGTTGGAGAAGGTGACGATTATCCATCTGACCATGGAGATGATTCTGATGATGATCTTCATTCTCCGTTGATCTCACGACAAACGACAAGCATGGAGAAAGACATGCCTCACACTGCTCATGGAACTCTTTCTAACTTCAGACATGGAAGTCAAGTGCAGGGAGCTCAAGGGGAAGGAACGGGTAGTATGGGGATTGGAGGTGGATGGCAAGTGGCATGGAAATGGACTGAAAGAGAAGATGAATCGGGACAGAAAGAAGGTGGATTCAAGCGGATATACTTGCATCAAGAAGGTTTCACGGGATCTCGACGTGGCTCAATTGTTTCATTGCCTGGAGGTGATGGAACCGGTGAGGCAGAGTTTGTACAAGCGTCTGCTTTGGTTAGCCAACCAGCTCTTTATTCCAAAGACCTTCTCAAGGAACATTCAATTGGTCCTGCTATGATGCATCCATCCGAAACAGCTAAAGGGTCAATTTGGCATGATCTTCATGATCCTGGAGTCAAACGTGCATTAGTCGTAGGAGTCGGACTTCAAATACTTCAGCAGGTAATCTAGATAGAGACATCAAAATTAGTGAATCACAGAAGAAATTTTGCTGTTTATTCTAATTCTATGTTTTCCTGCTTCCTCTTGGAAATGTAGTTCTCAGGCATCAATGGAGTTCTTTACTACACACCGCAAATCCTTGAGCAGGCGGGTGTCGGGATTCTACTATCGAACATGGGGATTAGTTCTTCCTCAGCATCCTTACTTATAAGTGCATTGACAACCTTTGTGATGTTACCTGCAATCGCTGTTGCAATGAGGCTCATGGATCTCTCTGGTCGAAGGTGATTAAAACTTAAATTTCGTTTGTTCTTACATTACACACGAAACGAAACAAGCTAAAATGCGTTATGAAATGTCTTTTAATTTATATTTGCAGGACTTTGCTTCTCACCACGATACCAATCCTGATAGCATCTCTATTGGTCTTAGTAATCTCGAATCTAGTTCACATGAACAGCATTGTGCACGCGGTCTTATCAACCGTAAGTGTCGTGCTCTACTTCTGTTTCTTCGTGATGGGTTTTGGTCCTGCTCCAAACATCCTCTGTTCAGAGATCTTTCCGACTCGAGTCCGCGGAATCTGCATCGCCATCTGCGCACTCACCTTCTGGGTCTGTGACATTATCGTCACTTACAGTCTCCCTGTGCTGCTCAAATCCATTGGACTTGCTGGTGTGTTTGGAATGTACGCAATCGTCTGTTGCATCTCATGGGTCTTTGTGTTCATTAAAGTCCCCGAAACTAAAGGCATGCCACTTGAAGTCATCACAGAGTTCTTCTCCGTTGGAGCTAGACAAGCTGAAGCTGCCAAAAACGAGTGAGAAACTAAAAGACTTGAGATCAAAAGTTTGTGTAATGTTTCCATGTTCATGTGGATTTGTTGTTGTCTTTTTACTTTGTGCAGTAATAATCATCTCTCTCTCTCTCTCTGTTTCTTCTTCCTCATGTGGGGAGAAAAAAATGAGGAAGAAGAAAAAAGTTTCAAACTTTCAATTACGAATCTCTTTATTATCATTTACCATTTATTTGCAGAATCCATAGAACAAATCCGTAAAACTCGAAAAATTACATACTTTTGATAAGTCTAGCTCCGATTTTATCAAGTTTCTTCACAGAAGCAATAGATTTCAAGTTTCCGACCTTCAAGAACGCTTCCACCATTTTCTCTCCGATCTCGAAACCTTTCTCCGCCGTGTCGATCACTGCAACCGCCGTTGGACCAACTCCACTTATAGTGCAACCAAATGCTCCAGCTTCTAAAGCAGCTCTCTTCACAGCTTCCATTCCCGGAATCAATGGTGCTCTCTTCGGCTCCACTACTTTATCCGACAAAGCGCCTTCCCAAGATTCTCCACGTCACCTTCCAAAACCGCCGCCACTAACACCGCCGCTTGGCTACTGTTCCAAACATGGTGAGCCATCGGAATCTCTTTTGCTAATGCTGCTCTCATTTTTTTAGTGGGAGCTTCGAAATCAGGGCTAACGAGAACAAAGAAGAGATCTTTCTCCAATGGGAATCTCAAAGGTTTCAAATCAAGCGGCTCGTAGCTTCTAATCAAAACGAATCCACCCATAATCGCCGGAGCAATGTTATCAGCGTGAAAGCCTGAGACTTTTGCTTCCGATTTTAATCCGGCGAGAACTAGCTCGTCGTTTCCTAATTTCCCGCCGAATAATTCATTAACCGCCACAGCTGCTGCGGCGGCGCTAGCCGCGCTAGAACCTAAACCACTACCTAAAGGAAGTCCTTTATGCAAAGCTAACGATACACCAACCGATTTGATCCCAAGCATCTTCATCGTCGCCATAGCTGCAATTCCCGCACAATTCCGGTGTGGATCAAAGCTGAGTTTGGTCGTGGTTCCGGTGATCTCAGAGATTGAGATCTCTCCGTTACGAACTGTGGGATCCACGTGGAGAGTGACGTGGTCACCGAGACCATCGACGGCGCATCCTAAGAAGTCAAAGCCTGGACCTAAATTCGCAACAGTCGCCGGAGCGAAAGTTTTGACGGAGGTGAAAACTGGCTCTGGCTCGGTGACGATGACAAGGCTTTGTGATTTGTACGGAGGCTCTGGGTTTAAAGACAGAGACTTTAGCGATTACCTGCGATGAAAGTTTTGATTTTGGTTGAATATTGTGAATGGGTTTTGAAGGAGATTGAAAACAAATGGTCACCATTGATGGAACTGAAGAAAAATCTTCAAATCACAATATAACAAGAGAGACCAAAGGGAATTGGACTTTAATCTCGTCGACCCCCTCTCCTCCAAACATTCTCTATTTAGCCCCCTTATAAAAAACATATGTTTATTTGTTTTGTTTAATTCTGAAAAATAGTAAATGACCAAAAAAATATTGACTTTTCCACGTAATTACGGACCCAACCTAACTTTGGATCTATATCAATATTTGTTGGATCGGGTTTCGGATCTTTTAATTCCCCATTCTAAAGATTGAATCTCTAACCTTAATTGGCAAAAAAAAAAAAAAAACTCTAACCCAATTTTTTTTCTCATTTCTCACATTTTTCCTTTTTCTCTCAAAGAAGAAGAACGACGACTCCAAACCAACAAAATACACAAATTTTGGCTCCAGCGAAAGAAAACACCCTTTTCGATTTCATTGATAAAACGTAAAGCGATTTCTCGTGGGAAGAAGAAGAAGACGACGATGGGAACAATGAGAAAAGCATTGTACAACGTAGGATTCTGGATCCGGGAAACTGGTCAAGCACTTGATCGGCTCGGTTGTCGCCTCCAAGGCAAAAAACACTTCCGAGAACATCGTATGTCTTTTGGGTTTTGTTTGTGAAACAGATGAATTTTCGGATTAGAATTTGTTGTAATTTTCGGATTGAATTTGTTCCAATTTGTAGTTATTTATGTAGAATTTGAGACTGTTTTTGAATGTTTGATATTGAATTTGTATTTGTTATTGCAGGTACTAATTACAATGGTTATTACGAGAGGAGGAAGATCTAGTTGTAGAAGTGAACCATATGCCTCTCTTAGAAGTGTCAAAAGACAAAAGCAATTAGATCCAAAGCATTCAGAGATAGCAGCTGTAGTGAGGTCTGATTGTGAGACCATGGCTGCTGGTTTTAACATGGATTATGGTGATTATAGAGGTGATGGAGAGGCTGTTTTGTATCCAAGGTTGTTGGTGATAGTAGAGGTGATGGAGAGACTGTTTTTGTACCCAAGGTTGTTTGGTTTCTAAAGTTTTTTATAAATCTAAGTGTTTAGGTACAATTGTTCGGATGTGTTTTGGTTTCTAAGGTTATGTATGAAGCTAATTGTTTAGGTACAACTGGTACGATCAGGTACAACTATGTTTCTGGGTTTATGTTTTTTGGTTCAAAAACCTATCTAATTATGTATGTATCTTTGAATCTGAATCTTAATATTTTTATGTATGAATCTATGTATTGAATATAATCTAAGAGTTTTGAACCAAAAAAAAAAAAATCTTAATTTTTCAAAAAATCTGACAAATATGTAGGTTGTAAGGGCTTTTATTAAAAAAACAGTTAAATATCTGAAAATATCTGAAAGAATCTAAGGATATCTAAAAATATCTAAAAAAATCTGACAAATAGCTTATCTGGCGCCGTTATTTTTGAAAAAAATAATTAAAAATAGCACAAATTTGTTCATAGTTGTACAGTTGTACCCGGTTGCACATTTTTTTAACAAGAGAGACCAAAGGGAATTGCAGATGAACATTGTGATTCACCTAATTTTAGTGTTAAACTGTTAGGGTTTATAAAATGTTTTAGTGAGTAGTGACTACTGACTAGTGACTAATTGATTCCATGGCTAATCAGTAATCAGCAACCACTAAGCTTCCGGTTAATGGATACAATTCGATTTAGGCAACTAAACCGGATTGGCACCACTAGTCTTTATAAGATTATGTATGATACAGCTTTGCTTACATGTTTATGCTTCAACTTTCTGTGGTTAAAAAATGTTCAGTATTCCTTCAAGGTTTATTCTTGAAGTATAGTTTCAATCAATATCTGCATTCTACATTTCTACTATATATGGATGAGGTATGTGTCTGCATTTCTTCATCTTTCATATGCTTGAAGAAGATGGCTTGAGTATTGATGGATCTGTCATACCGGTCTAGAAGGCCGTAAAGAAAGATCATCGTTTCGCTTACGCTTCAACCTTCTCTTGGTTTCTTCTTCTTTTTCATCAAAATAAGCTAGAAATGTCTGCAATGTTTTAGAACGAGAACTTTCTGGTGAAGGTACTGTAGTTTCTTCCTCAGGCTTGCTGTGGCGCCAGAAGTCGCGAACTATTCTGAAGAAGTAGATGAAAAGAGCGATAAAACAAGCAATCCCACACACAAGGAATAATCCCCAGAAGCTACGGAGTTTAAGCTGTTCTGAATCCTCATCTGACTCTGAACCATTCAGGTTACTGCAGTTAGATCTTGAAAGCCACTTGTCATGAATCTTTTGAAGCTGTCCCGTCTCAGATAGACCTAAGATCGCGGTTGACATGTCGATTGCTAATGGAGAGTCTCTTGGAAATGCCTTTAAACAAAACCGCAAAAAAAGATGATCAAAATTAATGTTCAAACAAACCGCAGAGACAGATTCAAATGAAGGGTACTCACAAATCCCCAGCCACTTCTGGTAAATTCTTGGCCTCTAATGGCAAATCCGCAGAAGTCCGAGAGGAAGAGATCAACGTAAGGGCGCTCATCGACAATTGCAGCAACAGTTCCGTTTAGAAGAGCTGCAGCGTATTCTTTAGGAGAGCCGAGTGGTACAAGTCTGGATCTGGCGATGTTAAGCTCATCAATCATGTAGTTTTCGGCATAGGAACCTACCTGAAACCCAACTCGTCCACTGCTGCTGATGAGTGTGTCTACTCCTCTGATCGGTGAGTTTAGCTGTTGCACTGTAAGAATCGACGTAAGACTCGCTGTGTAGCTCGAAGTTATGATCAGTACCACAAATAGCCAGATCAGTAGCACAGCACGACCAAGTGTGCTCACTGTGTTCTCTCCTGCAAGTTTAGTTGCATAAAGATGTGAGAGAAATCATCACATGTACTGTAGTAACTTAGCTGCAGTTTTTATATGTAACTTACTGTGGGAGAAAAACATTGTGGAGAAGGTGAACCTACATAAATAGATCATAGCTTATGAGGTCTTTAGGTATGTTATACGCCAACATATTGATAAAATGCAACTTCAGTGCTGTTTACTAACCAGAGAATAGTAACAATTTGTTTCCTTGGAGGTCCGCGGAACTCATCGTTGATTCTATGTTCAAGAATCCATATTACTGATCCAACGATGAGGAAAAAAGCTGCTGTAACAGCCCACATTGGAGGTGTAAAAGGGCGTAAGAACGCCCACGGAGTATCATTCAGCTTTGTGACAGGAGCAACCACGACAAGCCCTGATTCTATGTATGGCTGAGTGAAATCCACAATCCTTGTTCGTTTTGTAACAATAGCTATGTCTCCTACAACAGCATCAAATAACTGAAAGCAAAAATGAACAACTCACAACTGTTACAATCAGTTTCGACAATGCTTTGTAAGAAAAATAATATTTTCTTGATTCTTTTGCTCACCCCGGTAGTGACATTGTTGACAAATTCATTAAAGTTTGGGTTCTTGAGGCCGTCTCCAAAAAGGACGAACTCATGAGGAACCGGATAAGATATCAGTTTTACCGCAGCTTCAAAAACATCAATGGCATACCCTTGCACTTTGTTGCTTCCATCCACCCTTGACACAAATTCCTTGAAACTTGCTCTATCGGGTACACCGATTCTCAATCTTCTCCCGTTGTTAGGAAAAACCCATCCACGTGGCGTCACAGAAGTCCCACCAGGCCAAGTCACATTGTTCAGATGTTGGTTTGAGCTCGAACGATTTGAAGGCTTATTGTATAGTGACTCTGGAGGTATAATAGAGAGCCCAGAATGGTTAGACCAGTACCCTATCTGCCTAAACCCGTCATCAACCACGTTTATGATGTCATATGAGGGCTGTATCATTGATCTGTCAGGAAGAAACTGTATTTGACCTGTAAGACCAGTCATGTTTGTATTCACAATATAATCAAGAAATTGTGATCCTTGGTCAAATATGCTCAATGCACCTAGATTCAGTGACCCTCCTCCCGTCATGGTGGTTAACTTTGGGTCGCTAGAGAAGGAAATGTTAGCTCCGCTATCTAGAAGTGTCTTAACAGCTCGAGCAATGATCCAGACAGTATCATAAGCATAAAGTCCGTAAACGTTTAAACCGACAGTCCCATTACTCAACTTGTTCCACCGTGCCACAAAATCTTTTTTCTTTCTTGAATTTGGTGTGTGAATACGAAGAGTGAGCACTCCTCTAAAAGATTCAGCATTCTTGGAAGGCAACGGGTTAACTGAATCTAACAGAGAAGTCAACCAAGTTGTAGCTATCCAAACATAGCCTTTCTCCATCATGCCAAGCTTCTGGGCTTCCTCAAAGATCATCCCACCTGTTCTAGGGAAAGTGTTCACAATGATAACCCGAGACTCCATCCCTTGAATCTTAACCAACTCATCAATAATCTCACGAGGACTCGTAATCACCACATCCAAAGGAAGCACAGCCTTGTATGAAATCTTGCAGCGCCTTCCTTCGAGCTCATCGCCTAAGGCTGTTATACCGTTTCTACTGTTGTCATCATCATTGTACAATGCAACCACCTCTGACCAACCGTAGTAACTTATCATTTCCGCAATGGCACGCATCAGAAAGAGATCGCTAGGTGCTGTTTGGACAAAGAACGGGAACTGGAGCGCCGAGAGGCTAGGGTCTAAAGCTGTGAATGACAACATAGGCACACTAAGCTCATTTGCAAGATGAGACAGTACATGAGCCATTATTGATGTCTGAGGACCAATGATAGCCACAGCATCAGTCTCCATGAACTGCAATGCTGTACAATAAAACCAACACAAAGAATAAGTAAAAGTTTAGTTCCAAAACAAGAACCAATGAAACAAGATCATATATTTTTTTCACCTCCCATGATGGTGAGGAATCCATTACGCTTAGCATCATACGTCATTATACGCAATTTTGATCCACCAAGGAAGAGAGGATCAGAATTTACATCATCCTCTGCAGCTTTCATGGCAATATTTGTAACTTCACCATGTAAAGTCCCTAAACTGAAGATGGCTCCAACATCAACATAACGAGGCCTTGAAGCTCCCTCTGAAATCATCCCATCACCAAGAAGAACAATGAAGCTCAACAGAACCAAAACCCAAAACATTGTTTTGGTTTAACCAGTTCCTGAAAACACCAAGTTTGATAAACAAACAACAATTAGACAAAAACCTTGAGATAAAATCCCCAAAACACTTGAGAATCACTGGTCACAAAATGAGAGATTGTTAGCCACTTCACCGAATCAAAATGGGATTTTATTAAAGAGTAGCATAAGAAGAGAAAGCTAGAAACTTCTTAAGAAACAAAAAGAATATGGTACATAAGCAAAGAAAGTAGCTTTCTTTAGAACTGAAAAAGTGTCACGAGGATTAAACCCTTACCTCAAAGATAGAGAAGAGAACAACGAAGGATTGTCAAGAAATGAGTGGCAGAGATGCCAAAACCCAAAACCAAACCAAAATCATCCTTTAAAGAAAAGCAGATTCGTCAGGCAAATGAAAATCTAGTTGAAAGAAAGCATGAGGAACAAGCAAGAGGACTACATATATAAAAACCTGAAAAAAGGAGGTAAATTGAGAAAAGTAAAATCATGGGTATGCTTGAAGATTTAGGAAAGTGGTGAGCTTTTTGGTGGGATTTGATTACTTCCAATCAGAATTCATGCACTAGTCACTGAGAAAAAGGGTTAAAGAAGGAAATTAGATAGACTAATAATGATTGTCGACATAGATAATGAGCCATTATCGATTGAGAATGTGAAATATCTAAACTTTAAGTTTTGTTTCCATTGAAAAATGAAATCTTTTTGTTTTGTTTGCAAGTTGACGAAGTGACCTTTTTTCTTCCCAGCCAAAGAAAATGAGTAGGATAAAAAAGATGATGATATATTACTTATACTATAATCTATTATGGTAGTCTATTGGCTACTGAAATCATTAACCCAAAAAGAAGGAATTTAATCAAATTATCTTTTGCGTCATGGAGTTGTATGATTATACTTTTGATTATTGAATCAGTATTTGGATTCCGTTATTCCTTGATCCAATGACTCTTTTTAACGTTATTTATTGTTCATTTTCTTTTTTGAAAAGTACTATTATTATATTTTGTGGTCTTTCATACGACATTGAGAAAATCTGGATACTTCGAATATCTTTATTCCACATTTAAAACATCTTCCACATATGACATAACTCCAAATATGTAATGTTGTTGTGGACTATGCAAAAAAAATTACAGATGCTTATGGCATTTTTCTGATTTTCTTGTCCAATATAGGCAACCTTAATTCTTGTTACCAAAAAAGAGAGACAAGTTTCTTATGCCAAAAACAATTCTTGTTAATATATAAATATTTTAGAAAAATTAACAAAAACGCACGATGAAGTAAAAAATCTAAAAGGATGTATAACCAAAAAAAACAAAAAATGTAGGAAACAAATCGTAATCAAATGTCCAATATCAATAGTGTGAATCATGGGAGAGTGGGGATTTTTTTTTTCTGTCGAACCTCCACCGAAATTGAGTAATGAAAGCTCGAAATCCACTAAAATCTTTATTTTCCAAACCTTCCAATTAGATTTGGAGTTTTTTTGCTTCACATGTTTAGAATTTAATACTAGACGCAAGTATTATAAGGCCCATCGGAAATAATGGACTTTAGTATTATTATTAACCCATCAGAGATAAACTTGGGCCAACAAATAATAAGCAGCAAAACTGACACATAAAAAAAAACGTGGTGGTTTCAAACTGCAAATGAAAGAGATAAGTCGTCCTTACATAGTAAACCGCTCTGTTCCTCAACTGAAGTTAACTGTCTCCCTGTTCCTCCATAACTTCTTTCCCACGTAACCGTCTCCTTCTTCTTCGTCTTCTTCTACTTAAGCAACCCTTTCTCTAACTTGTACTCTTTTTTTCAATTTTCTCCCATCACTTTCTCTACGTGCTCACAATGAACAACAATCATTCCTTTTATGATCGCAATTTTCACATTCCACTTCATCCTTCTAACGCAAGTAACCCTAATCCAAATCTCCAGTTTGCTTTATCTTCAAGCTACGAACACAGTCCTAAGAAGAAACGCACCAAAACCGTTGCTTCATCTTCTAGTTCTTCACCAAAGTCCGCATCAAAACCCAAATACACCAGAAAACCAGATCCAAATGCCCCCAAAATCACTCGTCCATGTACTGAATGTGGCAGACAGTTTTGGTCTTGGAAAGCTCTCTTTGGTCACATGAGATGTCACCCTGAGCGTCAATGGCGTGGCATTAATCCTCCTCCTAACTACCGTGCCTCCACTACGGCTTCATCAAGACAACTAAACCAGAGATCACCAAATTGGGTCTCATTTATGTCTGAGGAAGACCATGAAGTCGCTTCTTGTCTCTTACTGTTGTCTAATGGCACACCATCATCATCGAGTAGTGAACGGTTTGAGTGTGGAGGATGTAAGAAAGTGTTTGGATCACATCAGGCTTTAGGAGGACACAGAGCGAGTCACAAGAACGTTAAAGGATGTTTCGCTATCACAAACGTAACCGATGATCCTATGACGGTTACTACTTCTAGTGATCAAGATCACAAGGCAAAAATCCTTACGTTTTCGGGGCATCATAAGTGTAATATCTGTTTTAGGGTGTTCCCGAGTGGTCAAGCTTTAGGAGGTCACATGAGATGTCACTGGGAAAGAGAAGAGGAGACGATGATCAGTGGTGCTTTGGATTTGAATGTTCCTGCAATACAGGATCTTTCTACTTCGGACACATCAGGGTGTTGTTTAGATCTTAGGTTAGGACTTTAATTAGTAATCTATATATTATAGTGGATGTTTCCTTCTAACTAATGGGTGAATGTACATGTTGTGATTTTATTATAAGTATAACGTATCTAGGATATTGTTGTATTCTGCTATCTATATGCTTAATAAAGAAAAATATTTAGTTTTCTGCTTCGAAATGTACTGATTTTCTGGCAAATAAAAAAACTTGAATCAAGAAAGAAAGAAAACTTGTGGTGTACCAAAATGTAAAAGAAAGTCTCAAACGTATATCTAACCAAATACTAGAGAACAGAATCGATCTCTTAAAACATGAAATTCATAAGCACATATTGAGCCGTTTTATAAAAGTTAAGCCAACAAATAAAACATTATAATTTCACCGAAGCTTAACTAGTTTCATATTATTCTAGCAAAATTTCATTGTTTGACTTGATCTCAAACTCACCACGATCTCCAAGACTCCCAACCATTCTATTTTTAATTATTTTTTAAGAACTCCTATCATTCCATCGTATATAGATTAGATCTTATTCCGCTAAAGAATCTCAGTGTTACCTATATCTAAGATAACCTTGTTTTCACCAGCTATATTTAACATATACAATTCTTAAATAAAGATTGAATAATCTTAAAAAATTTATTAATCTAAAGTCTAAAGATTCAGATGCATTATAGGTAAACACGCGGAACTAATTACAACATGCACGAACCCTAATCCGAGACAGTTATCAATTAATCTTCTCGAATCTATTAAACAATTACTAAATCAATTGTCCTTCAAACATTTATCAAACAAACTAGTGCGACACACAACCTTCGTGAATATTCAACTACTAACTTTTTTTAATAACAATAATTATCGTTTACAGCGATGCTTGTAATTAGTATATATAAATACATCAAAAACAACAAGAAGAATCTTCTGGTGAGATTTCTTAATATTTTTATTTATTTATTAAAACACATTATGTAAAATGCAATATTATCAAAACAAAATTCTTTTGCGCATATATCGAATATGAATCTCCCTAGCTCTTAATTGTACTGGCTCGTGTTAATCACAGGCGCGTGACAAATATGTTGTAAAGTTGTTCACGTACATTGTGATTCATTTCATATAATATGTCTACATCTACAACATGTTGACAAAATATATATGCATCATAATATTTTTATATGTTTTTTATTTTTTTATATATGTTTTAAAATGGTAGATATGAAGGCTTACGTAAGATGAAGTTGACCCATTTATCTCCTCACACGTTCTTTACATCTCTAATAAGCACTCCATCTATATAAAAAAGGGTGAACTATGGATCAAATTTAGTTTTTTTTTTTTTTTTTTTTCCAACATTCTCAAATGTAGTTTTAATTATCACGACAACTTCGGCTAAATATATCCACTATATATATTTTTTTCTTTGAATATTTAATGAGAAACTACAACTTGAATATACTAGTATATATTATATGATCCAAAAACATTAATTGGGGTGACGTCTTAAGAAAATGTCAGATAGATCCAACAAATATATATATGAATGAATTTGAGGATTCCTGCTGATGCCTGCGATACGATGTTGTTTTTATTTAAATATATATAAGCAAAATAGAAATTAAAAAATATATCAATTTTTAGTTGACTAAGCATTATGTCGTTAAGTAATTAATGTTGTAACCTGCAACTTATTAATCAAATTCAGATCCGTAGTTGAAAAATAATCAAGGTGATATTAGAAACCAGTCAGTACTAACGTACATACATGAGTTAAGTATATATATGTATATGCATTAATGTATATTATTTTGTAGCTGGATTTAATTATGTGGGAAGCACGTCATCGTGATTATTTTTAAGAGAGAAAACCGTATAAGAACTATTTATATGCATATATTGCACCATAATTAATTAGAATAATCCCAAATATAGTTAAGTGGATTCTTGAGCGAGATTAACTTATCTTTGAATCCAGGCTTTACACCTAATCAAACTATAATTCTAAAATCAAAATTAGCAAATTGTTAGTATTGAACAATTATCTCATTTAACTTCTAGTGGGATGCCGCAATGGGTGGCGACAAAAATAATAAAATTAATCACTGCTTTCATTTTAAAAAGTCATTAAACGGCAGTGACATCATCTTCCATTATCGCGGTCTTTGCTTCAGAAAAATATTATATCTATATTAGTTTATTTTCATTCAAACAAGAAGTGCTTATGAGATAATTAGTAAAGGACAGTAGTTGCGTACTACAATTAACATTTGCCCTTAGATTTAGCGCCACTTACTAATTATTCTTAGCAATTTTACCTTTACATACACATACACATGACGCTCTTGGTTTCGACATTTGTTATAAGGATGTTTAATCATATAATTAAAGAGAGAAATTAATATTGTTTCCATAAAAGCGACATGTGTAGGACCTGCTGGTTTCAGACAGAATTTCAGTGATAAAAATTTCGTGCTATTTTTATATACATAAAAAATAGAGACATATTTCGTGCACGACAATATATCTTGTATGTATACGATATAAAACTGATAAGTTATCAACTTATAACAAACACGAAGGATTCCAACTAAGTAAAATGAATCCTTTTTCCAAAAAACAAAACTAAGTATAATGAAATATGAGGAAATTAATGGAGATTAAACTGAGAGAATTATGGTGAAATCAAACCATTTGTTTAGGCAGGTCTTTGGACGCGGCGAGTCGGGGATCGGACGATGAAGAAGGGACGATGACTCCTAAGATCACTGAGAGCCGTTTGATCCTTACTTTTTGGAGCAAAGTGGCTTAACTACTTAACCCATATTTCTCTCATCTCAAATTAAAGCCTTGATGACCCTTGGCAAATTATTTTAGATTATTCTATAATTATCCTCTAATTTACTATTTTCAGAATCGATAAATTGAGAAGAACATGTGTGTAACACCGGATTGGATGATGGATTTGCCGTATTGTTGGACTTGGATCGATAACTTCGTCGGTATTGAAATCCTCAACGTTTCATGTGTTGAAGTCGCACATTAGAAATCAAAATGTAAAGCTTCGAAAATAAAAAGAGTAACTCAATATTCACTAAATGTGATATTAAAACATTGATTAATAAACCTTCTTTACATATGTATTCTTTACATTTTATTTTTCACATACATATTATTGTAGATAACTAAAAATGCACTGTGGAAGCTCCCTTGGTCCATTGGTTGACTAAGGGTTCATTAATGCTTCTACACCTAGAGGTCTGGGTTCGTGTTCCAGATACTGCAATTTATTAATAAATTTGCAGATTATTAGAGGCAAGTGTGCAGGAGATCTCCAGCGATGTACAATTATAGCCGTTCGCCATGATTCCACACAGAGAAGGAAGTGTCCATGAAGAAAGAGGTGAAGGAGATGAGCATGAAGAAAGAGGTGAAGGAGGTGAGCATGAAGGAGGTGAAAGAGGTCGTGGATCTAATAAGGGTCGGAAGGAATTGTCCGTTGTAGAATCGTCTATGTAACAGTTCTCATAATTTGTAATAAATAATAAATTCAGAGGAAAAAAAAAAAACTAAAAATGCACTTATTGAAGCATATATATCGTATAGTTCAAATAAATTAAAAAGATTAATATATTTTGACGAAAATTTTATTTTTGTTCACATTTGTGGATAATTTTGTGGTAAAGTGAAAAAAACTCATCTCATAATTTATTTATTAAATTTCACTTTTCTTCAATCCCGAATAGAATTAAAAACTCTTGAAAAGACAATTCGATTTTGTGTGTCTAGTTAGTTTTTTTTTTTTGCTAAGAGTGTCTAGTTAGTTTATCAATCCAAAACTGACGCCATTTCATTGAATATATTCTTACATTATGTTATTGTACTTATGCATTCTGAACTAGGTGTAGAGCATACTCACATCAACGAGCTAATTAACTGATACAAAAAGCTATAACAAAGCGGAATGGTTTCTAAAACGTTCTCTGAAAAATAATAAAAAAAAGGTTTCTAAAACTTTCACTAATCTTTGGTCTACAAAACAAAAATTCTAACTAATCCAATAAACCGAACATATAAATTCAAATTCATGTTAATTGTTGAACACAGTTTATAGAGTTTAATGAGCAGTTCCTCTTTAATCTGTCTCATCAACGACCTAAATTTGCGAAAAAGTTTTATATATTTGTGTTTTTTTCACTATAAAAAATCTCTTTTAAATTTTTTTAAAATAAAACGCTTTCTTCACCACACGAGTATTCTAGCACAATATATATAGCTTTTTAAAAAATTTACATTTCTTAACACACTCTTTCATATTTGTTTCAACATGATCATATCTTCTCCAATATTATATATACGTACGTGTGTTTGCAATATAAACTTTTCTTCTTCTTTCTAGTAGGAGAATCCAATGCCTAGCTACCGCACAATCAAAGATAATCTAATATCTTTAATTAAAAAGATGGGAATGAATTTCTTGTATTGGATGATTTGAATAATTTCCAAGAAAATCTCATGTTTAAATTATTTGAAAAATAATGTGAAGTATATATACGATAAAGAGTTTAGAATCAACACACATGAGTTTTAGAAATGTTATCAAAATTTTAGATCTTATAAATTAGAAAACATATGAAATTGACTTTAAATCATTGATGAAATAACTAGAGAATTTACGTTTCACATTTAACTTTCCAACGTAGATGTGATTACAAGTTACATGTCATTAACTACCATCATTATAACAAATATCTTTATCACTGTAATATTTTTGAGTTTTTATATATTTTATACTGTGTTCTGAGATCCGTATACGTATATACACATACATAGCTAGATTCCATTTTAAAAATCTAAATTTAGTAAAAATGTGAGATTTTCTATTCTGTGTTGGTCACTTATCCCAACATTTGTTATTGAACGTCAATAATTTAAGTAATTTCTAAATGATTACACTTTATAGCCATCATGAAAAATGAAAAGTACGTATATCATTATAGTTTTTTTAAAAAGTTTGCTATGATCAATTAGTGTGAACTTTTATCATAGAAAACAATTTAATTAGGCAATTAGCTAGTGAACGAATCATTGTATAATTCGGGGGAAAAAAAAAAAACTCTTTTCAGTCTCTTCTTCCATGAATCGGACTCACATGGATGCCATTTGAAAGCATGGCATTAACTTTCAAAAAAGCAATAAAGTTTACAATTTTAATGAATATATATAACATAGTTTAAAACCTCTTTTGTACTGAAATCAATACAAACTCAATCTTAAAGAAGAAGAGTAACTATTGGCTAATTATTTTAATGAATTAGCATCATATCAATCTATGTGCATACACATTAGAAACACATGTATATATGTACACAGAGATGTAAAAAACACCATGGCAAATTCTGAAACCAAAGAAAGATGAATAAAAGAGCAATTAATTATACAAAGGGCGTTTAAGAAAATTTCAAACTTTTAAAACAACAATCAATCAAACAAACTCAAAAAAAAAAAAAACTAGGGCTGAGGTCAGGAAGGGATGATTGTTTTTGTGAGAAGTAAATTAAAGAAAGAATCTTGAAGGTCAAAATAATTAATGAAACCTGTTCAACATGACAGACATTGTCTTCTGCAAAGAATCTTTCTCCCTCTTCTTCTTCCATTGAAACAGATCAAGTTTAACCAATCAAACAGAACAAAGTACACATTTGCTTACGTAATCAATAATTAATTATACCTAATTAATATATTAAAATTTGGAAGAATCTCAAACAAATAGGCCAAAAGACATCACCAACTACATCATTAAGAAGAACAAT